TCAAGTGTACTTGACCCCATGTATTCTCTATGTATTTTCTCTGCGGGGCTCCGCACGGAAGAACCCTTCGCGATGCTTTCGGGAAAAACGGGCCGGGCTTCGTGGGCATTTGAAAAAAACGGGCCGAGGCTTCGCGGGCCGAAATTTTCAATGCCCACGAATTCCAATAGGGTTTACATATATTGGGCTTCGTGGGCATTTGAAAAAAACGGGCGTTCGTGGGCATTTGAAAAAAACGGGCGAGGCTTCGTGGGCATTTGAAAAGAACGGGCCGGGCTTCGTGGGCATTTGAAAAAAACGAGCCCGGCTTCGTGGGCATTTGAAAAAAAAAAACGAGCCCGAAATTTTCAATGCCCACGAATTCCAACAGGGTTTAAATATATATATATATATATATAAGAAAGAGAGGGTTTAGTGTTGAGGGAGGAGTTCTTGGAAGTTGAGTGTTTGAGGCTCCAGGGCTTGGGTTGAAGGTATTTTTGCTTGGGGTTTAGTAAATCCGGGTTCAGAGATTAGCGTGTAGGGTTACGTAGGGTTTGGGTTTGAGGGTTTAGGGTCTAGGCTTTTGCCCTCTTTGGGACTAACGGGCCGCTGCCTTTGGGGTTGCGGTGAGCGTGCTGAGCACTTCAAGGAGAAACCTTTCACCTGGAAGACGAAAGCGTATGCCCTAAGCCGTAAGTTCAACACCCCTGACCCGCGACAACGCTAAACCCTAAACCCTAAAAAGCCTGCAGGACAGCCCATGCGGGCCCTTTGGGCGGCTGTGCTCTGCAGTACAGCCGGCGCCCAGATCTACAAATTCAAAGAAACCACCGTGCCAGAAAGCAAATCGTTGAGCCTTGCCAGGTTTAGGCTTTGGGAACGTGGGTTGCTGCAGATGTTGCCGAGCTTTTGAAACCATCAATCTCCCAGCCTGCGCATGGAAACTTGCTGTAGGGCAATCCGACAGGAGCAAAAGACAAGCTTCCGACACAGTGAGAATAGCAGCAGGTGTTCCTGATATCCCTCGCCCCCGCGACAGTCACGACAAGCCCCAAACCCTAAATCCTAAA